GACAGCCTCACCTTTCTTAGACCACACCCTCTAGAAGGTGTGGAATGAGCAAGGGCCTTTGTTTGCATCTTTTATGGATTGAATTGTGTCTCCCAAACACATGTCACCTCTGGTGGGTTGTTAAGAAGCCTTGGTGGCGCAGTGGAGGAAGCGTTGAGCCGCTAACTTCAAGGTCAATGGTTTTAAAGGCTTTTAGTCTTGGAAACCCTAAGGAGCAAATTCTACACTGTCCTATGAAGTCACTATGAGTTGGAATTGACCCGATGGCAGGGGATTTTGATCCCCACCGTGGTTAAGGCTCCATGGTGGTGCAGTGGTGAAGCACTTAGCTATGAACCAAAAATCTGGTGGTTTGAACCCACCAGCTGTTGCAAGGGCGAAGGCTGTGGGGGTTGGTTTCCGTAGATTACAGCTTTAGAAGCCCCGTGCAGCAGTTCCACATTGTCCTATAGGGTTGCTATGAGTTGGAATCCATGCACTGGCAGTGGGTGGGAACTTCTTCCCAAGCCAGGCATTACGGGGAAGAGACAAGTGATTAGAGAACACTGGTACCTCAGCCTTTGGGCCTGAAGGTTATATGCAGAGAGAGAAAGGATATAAATGAGTGTCCATTAAAGAGTTTAAAGTAACAATGAAAACATGTTTTCATGAGGATTTCAATACTGATATAGGTAATATATGAGTGGACAATGTGAGCAGTTGATACAAGCCAGGCTCACAAGAACTCAGCAACAATAATGGGACCCTGTTTTGGTCCTGGTGTTGGAGGTCAAGTATAATGCCAGCATGCCTACCTGTGTTTTTGAGTTGGGCAAAGAGGTTCTTTGCCCATTTCTGTATGGAATGTAAGGCTATCAGGGATGGAAATCTATGGTTTGTCCAGTACTACAACTAAATTAAGTGAGTGGCAGGGTATTTTAATGAGATAATAGACACTTCTCTGTTTGAAGACAGTACTTGACTTTTCTGCTTATACTGTTCAGCTGGAAGAACCTTTGTTTGAAAATTCAAAGCATCCTTGGAGAAAAAGGGATTGGAAGTGAGGACTGGACTTATTGTGGATGATTCTGGAAAATGCCACGGTACCAAAGGTCAGAGAGCCAGGAAGCAGCCAGAAATGACTAGAAGCATGTTGGAAGAACTCAGGAACCAACATAAGCAAGCTTCTTCTGCCAAAAGATGAAGGGGCCCTGGTAGCACAATAGTTCAGCACTCAGCTGCTAATCACAAGGTTGGTAGTTCAAACCCACCAGCATCACTGCAGGAGAAAAACATGGCAACTTATTCAGCAAACACTATCAGGGGCAATATATATATATATAAAATTTTTTTTAAATCCAGGAGTGCATAATGAGGCACACACACACACATGCACTTTCCTCAATGATAACTTTTGGAAAATGGTGGGATTAACTCACTTTGAGCTTTTATTTTGAACATGATAAATGGAGAATAGACTGAAGTTGTCAAGGATTTCATTTTGCTTGGATTCACAATCAACGCTCATGGAAGCAGCAGTCAAGAGATCAAACGATGTATTGCACTGGGCGATTCTGTTCGCAAGACCTCTTGAAAGTGTTCACAAGCAAAGATGTCACTTCGAGGACTGCGGCGAGCCTGACCCAGGACACGGTAGTCTGAAACACCTCCTGCGCATGTCAGAACTGGACAACAAGTAAAGAAGACCAGAGAGGAGTTGATGCCTTTGAGTTAGGGTGTTAGCAAAGAATCGTGAAGTACCATGGGCTGCCAGAAGAACAAACAAAACATTTGTAAGATAATCAAGGAATTATAAACATTAGCTTGATATGTGATATTATGGAACATGAGCAGTTATTTTTGTAAGCTAATGGTATGGAAGTTATTTATATTTTCCTATAATGATATATTTACTATATTACATAGGGTAAATTTGCTGCACAAGAAGACCTCTTTACAGTGTTAAAAAACAAAAATGTCACTTTGAGGACTAAAGTGAGCCTGACTCAGGCCATGGTATTTTTAATCACTTCATATGCATGTGAAAGTTGGATAATGAATAAGGAGGATTTGAGAAGAATGATGCCTTTGAATTGTGGTGCTGGAGAAGAATATTGAAACTACCACGGTCCGCCAAAAGGACAAACAGATCTGTCTTGGAAGCAGTACAGCCAAAATGCTCCTCATAGACAAGGATCACAAGACTTTCAGCTTACATACTTTGGACATGTTGTCAGGACAGGACAGTCCCTGAAGAAGGACATCATGCTTGGCAAAGCCGAGGAGCAGTAGAGAGGGGAAGGCCCTCAAGGAGATGGATTAGCACAGTGGCTGCAACAATGGGCTCAAGTTCAGGATCAATTGTGACGATGGCACCGAACTGGGCAGTGTTTCCAACACAGCACCAGCTTTCTATTTAATCTTATCTTCACAACTGGATCAGCGATATAAGTACAGGTATCTGCATTCAATCTGAGGGGTCAAGTGAATATTGGGCTGCTAAATGGATAGCAACCCAACATTCATTCGGCTTTTAAAATTCATTGAGCAAAGAGGCCTGGTGGCATGGTAGCATTCGAGTTGGGCTGCCAACCACAAGATCACTCACCAGCCCCTCTGCAAGAGAAAGATGAGACTTTCTGCCCCTACAGATTTACAGCCTCAGAATCACAGAGAGGCAGTTCTACTCTGTCCTGCAGGGTCACTCTGAGGTGGAATGCTCTCAATGGCAGTGCGTTTGTTTTTGCTTAATTGGGTTTGGTTTATTCATTTAGAAAGGATTGCTGGAAGAATTACTGGGTTAAATGTTGGACCACCAACCACTGATCACTGGTTGGTTCGAACCCACCAGCCACTCCAAGGCAGAAAGAGGAGGCCGTCTGCTCATGTAAAGATTTACAGCCTGAGGAATCCTATAAAAGTCAGGCCTGTATGGTCCTCATGAGTCTGAATTCACTTGGTGGCAGTGGGTTTAGTATATGCATTTACTACATGCATTTAGTATATGCATGGTGATGGAATCATCAAGGACTCGGCCAGGGGTTCAAACCCACCAGTTGATCTGCCAAAGAAAGATGTGCATGGTAAAGATTAGAGCCTTGGACACACTCTGGGGCCATTCCCTTGCCTGTCAGGTTATCTCTTCCAGCTAGACCAAAGGTGTATCATGTTTTTATTCAGTTTTAATAGCCAGTTGAAAAAGTATTGCTATCAATTTAGCAATATCCTTTCAATCTTGCCCATGTAAGTAAACAGATAGGCATTGTAAGACCTAAATCAAGAATCTTGAAAAAATAAGTGGCGCGGTGCTGGCAACTATCGTTAAATGGAATCTTCCATTCACAGGTGCTTGTTGTGCGCTTGCGTATTGCAGAGAGACCAGGATCCAACCCCCATGTCCTGAGTGTGACATTCCGCCTACCTAGCACTCGATGCATGTGCGCTATAGGGACCACTTCAAACAGATGCTTAGCTGTTAAGTGTCTTGTCTTCCAGACTGTGCTTGGAATGGGTCTCAGCTCTGGGGTCTAGTGACTTCTGAGTCATTTTAACTGAAGCGTGGTGAAGCCGCTGGGCAGATGGGCCCACTTAGAAGGCACACTTCTGTTTCTCCCAGGAGTGGCCTCTCGGATCCTCGCTCCCTCTCTTGGCATTTTGTTGCTACAGCCAGTTTTCTTCTCTTGTTTGACTGTTTTGCAAAGGAGTTTCCGTTTTACTCTTATTTTTTCCTTTAAATTTTTCCCCTTACGAAAAGTTTCTAACATTCAGACATAGAGAGAATATTTAATGCATTCCTATATTTGTGCCATCAGATTCAGGAATTACTCTGAGTAATTGCTTCTGAGTAACCGCCTTTTTCCTGTGCCCCACATACAGCCTGACCGACCACCCCAGATTATTTAAGAAACATATCCTCAATATTGTGTCATTTCACCTGGTATTATTTCAGATTATAGCTCTAAAATATGAACACATAACTATATACTTAGCTCTGGAACTATATGTGTAACTACTTTCAGAAAACTGTTAAGTGAATAATCATTGACAAAAATAGACGTTACCATGATGTCAGTTCTGACTCGGTGACTGTCTAGGATAGGGTAGAACTGCCCTTTCTCAGAACTGAACAGACTGCTACCAGGAAATAAAGATGACCAACCTAGTGTTCCTCAAGATTTAAATCCAGATTGTGACTTTCTAATAATTCTCTGACATCCACTTTATACTAATTTTTTATTATTTTGCATTCACTCAGTCTTCGCAGTTAAAGTATGGTCTTGTATTTGTTCAGAACTTATTCTCTATTTATTCAGTGGTCCCCTCGCTTATATATGTATTGTACCTTCAAGTGAATATTAAATCTTTTAAGATATAAATGGTCATTTCATTAGTGAAGAGATACAAAGGCACCCAAACGCTTTTGTTGGGAGATGGAAAGAGGTGGGGGGAAAGAAGGAAGGAGGAGGTAAGAGAAGGATGGAGAAAGCAAGAAAAAGAGGGACAAAAGGGAAAGGGAAGGCGTGGAGGGAAGGGAGAAAAGAAGGGAGGGAGGAATTCAGTTAGGTTGGTACTTATACATCTCAAGGCTGAAATATTTCCTCATTGTTCAAGCTCTGCTTCAAACAAATCATAGTTCCCAGACTGAATTTAAAGACACCATCTTTATAGACTTTTCATTAAAGATGTGTAATGTCAACAGATACCATATTCAGCACTATGTGCCTGCATCAAGTAAAGAACGGCTGTTTCATACGGTGCCGTTATTTAAAATGTGAATCAAAAAGATCGATTAACTTCAACTCTCAGGCCATTGCAGCTTCACAGCCATGTCTTCTTCCAAATACCTTGTAGTTCTTCCCTATGTATATCTTTAATTTTTAGCTCTGCCAAACTAGAAATAATTTGGAGAGAAGGTTGTTAAGGTCCATATAAGTCAAAGACACAAACTTCAGTGCATAAGCATTAAAGACATTAATTTGCTCCCTTGAGCCCCACTGGCCACTACTAATCAAGGTAATTACCTCTGAGAAGTTGGAGGACAGGTATTTCCCATTGCACTTTGCGATGCTCCTCAGGATCTTTAATGCTTTCTCCCCTTTCTTCCTCGTGATGAGCCATCGAGGGGACTCAGGAACCACCCTGGCAAAGAAGGAGGCTGCTGTGAATTTTGTCTGGGAATTGCAACACATAATAGCTCATGACCTGCGTTTCCTTTCAAAACGGATTTTGCGTGCAACTCTCCTTGATGTGATTGAACTATTGAATTGTACGATATGTGACCTAAATGCCAATAAAACTGTTTTTTAAAAAAAACCTATTACAGACCAAAAAAATGTACCTTGCAATTAGGTAAGTTTAGATAAGAAGATCTTTGTATCGTGCAATTAGATAATACGCTTAAAGATTTTGAAAATTGATAGTAGGCTATCTGACAAGGGTTAACTAGTAGATTATCTTCTCACATTTGCAGTGGAAGGTCCCCCAAATGCTAACTTGAGAAAGGAGTCACTCCTAGAAACAGGCATATTCAATAGTCAATCAGCAAAATCAATATTATATTGATCTTGCCAGACCAGGCTACTCTAGACTGTACTGTCCTTGAATATGAGAGAATGGGGATTTAATGAGCATTTAAAGATATATGAAGGATCTGGGATATGTAAAGTGATTTGCCCATATATTAAAATTAGAGGAATGATTAACATATGACCAGCCTACTAAGAATCAAATATATACACCTGTAGATTTAGGAGAAATTAATCTTCTGATGCTCTGAACATTCTCTTACTACATTTTTTGCTAGTTCCTGAGTGGTATGAATATGCTTCATAGAACACACAAAGAAGCAAATGTTTTTTATCGCATTGAGTTGGCAAGTTACAATGTTGGCAGGTCTGGTTTGTTGCCTGAGAGTTTTTATGAAAGTAATGCAAAGTGATTAAAGATAATGCAATCAATACTCTAGCTAGAATTTTGTGTTTTGGTCTACTCCACTGATTTTCTTTACTGACAACTATTTCTCAAATCCTTAAACTATCTCTTCCTGTTCTCAGAGCCTAAGGGTTGCGTTGTTCCTGGAGATTCTAGAACCTCTCCTTTATCGCCTTCACTTTCACGTTGGTTTGGAGCCAAGATGCTACAGTTCGATGGTGTGCTGTGACTGGTGCTGTCAAGGGATTTTCAGTTCACAGTGACCCCACATGACAGAGTAGCACTGCCCCGAGGTGTTTTCTGGGCTGTCATCTCCAGGGGAGCAGATTGCCGGGATGTGGAATAAGCATAAAATGCGCAATAAGGAGCAAGGGCACATTACCAGTAATAAAGGAGGAAGAGAAAGTTGGGCAGCGTGATGGCCAGCTGGATCCCTTGCCAGTTGGGAATGAAGTAGGCGATTCCAGGAAGAATTATGATCCCAAGGGTGAAGAACATTTGGATCACGATCCCCACGATCCTCCTTTGTTTGGAGCCGACTATTTCGGTTACTGGAGGGAAGCAAGCACAAGACGTTAGGGAGGCTCAAGAGTGGCTGCAAAGTAGACCAACACTTGCCCCTGTCGGCGTCAGTCTATCTGGCAAGCTACAACACTTCTCTTAACCAGGCAGTGGTTCCACACTTGCTGCTGTGATGGAGGTCTGATTGCCAGAGAATGGATAGGCTCTTCTGCCCCTCAGCCACCACTCGCCCACCTTCGTCTCCCGCGCCCAATCTGGCCCTCTGCTGGGCATGGCAGGAGAGTGCAAACACATCTGTGTTGGCTTGAGGGATGCATGTGCGATGGTTATTTTGAAAGGTAGTCAGAATAAGCAAAGCTTAAAGATAGTCCACTGGCTCGGTTTTATTACTGTATCTGGACCTGTTTGCTCAGTATAGTCTCTTTAGGAGATTCACTATCAACATTTTGCTGTCGTTAGTTTGAACCATCAAGTCGATTTCTGACTCAAAGCATGAGGGTGTCTAGGCTGACACTGTTAGGGGCAGGCCTCCGGGTCTTTCTCTCTCGGTTCTACACATCATGTTCTTTTCACAATCACAAGACAGCTGCGATTATGAAAATCCTCTCCCCTGCGTGGGACTTCTCATTGATGTGCGATTTCATCACTCTAAAAGGCGGTGGGCAATTTTAAAGCGGACGCCCTTCCCTCTCATTCCCGCCACCTGGTTTCTTCTACTCTAATGATCCTGGGATAGGCTCCCTTATCTGTAAGGTCAGTAGTTGAAAACCACCCTGGGAAGAGGACTTGGCAAAGCACTGGCCACTCCCTTTGCCTCGATTTCTACAGTTGTCCTGAACCAGCCACCTCATGTAGGAAAGGAGAAAGCGCGTGCCGGACGACTGCGCCAGGTCCTTAGGCTTCCGCTCTGCCCCCTCGCTGCTAGATGATCCCAGGAAGAACGGTGGGACTTTCTATGCCCAGAAAGCGTTGCCGTCTCCTAGACCCACAGGAGCGGTTCTAGCCTGCCCGACGGGGCTGCGATGAGTTGGCACCGGCCAGATGGCAGTGAGTTTTGTTTGGTTGTCCTGAGATCACAACACTGGAAACTCGCCCAGTCTTTCAGAGGGGAATAAACTGGTTACCAAACAGAGTATTGGAGAGATGACTGTAGGAGATCAAAATGATAAGCCTGACTGGAATGTATCAAAACCTTGTCACTCGACACCCCCTCTCATACACTTTGGGCCCGATCTGGTTTTCAAGGCTTTGCTTTGTTTACGTAGTAGAGTTGATCTCGGATGTATTTTGTCATTGGGTAGCTTTCTTGAGCCTTTGTGATATGTCTTTCTGTTTTTCGGTATTTGAAACCTAGGACTGATGAACCTATAATGACAACAAGCAGCATAAAGGCTCCGGTGGGGTATGGTGGCGGAGGTGGGGGGGTGGGGTGGGGGGGTAAAGGGGAAGCTGATATCAAGGAGTTCAAGAAGTACGAACATGTTTGGAAACTGATTGTGGCAGCAATTGTACAATACTGTTTGGTGTAATTGAACTATGGAATGGTTTGATATCTATATTAGCTCCCAATAAAATAGTTTTGGGGACAAAGTGCCCCAGGATGCAAAAGTATTGCTTCCACTTCTGCCATGGACAATCCTAACACTCTTTACCCTTCCCCCACCCACAGAAAGATCTTCAAAGGGTCTTCCAAGGGAGCATCACTTAGGGCTCATCTAGCAGGAAGGAGGTAGAGTGGCAGTGGAGGACCTGGTGCGACTCTCCTGCATGAGCTTTCTATTTCCCACAGTAGGTGGCTGGTTCAGGACAAGTGTAGAAGTAGAGTCCAAGGGAGCAGCCAGCGCTTTGCCCTGTCCTCTTAGCAATGACTTCAGGAAAGCTTCTTGAGTTTCATACCCAGTGGTCCAGCTATCCAGTCATGCATGATAGCCAAGGCTCACAAGTTAACTTCCCACATGGAGGTCCCACCTCCCACACAGAAAATGGCCTCCACTTATACAGAAAGAGCAGAGTTTAGGACGTGATATTTTAGGGCGTGTGTAAGCAATCACATACATGCTGTAGAAATGGCTCAAGGATCTACTGACATTTTAAAAGTGAGAAGCAAGTTCTAACAGGCAACACAAGTGTTGCACAGTGGTATCAGCCCAATATTTTATGATGATCCCTCTGGTTCCCAAAAGAGCCAGCTGGTTTCTACCTTTGAAGGCAACCAGAATACACCCCGCCCCACCCCTCACACACCCACACACCTGCCCATGCCCTGTCTCGTGGGTAGAAGTAAGCCTGTAGCTGCAAGGAAACCCCACGGCATGCAATTGTTAGAGGACGGGCCTCGGCCGACTGCCCAGGCACGGAGGGAGAAGCAAGTGTAACCAGGTCTTACCGATCACATAGCAAGTCATCCATGTCCCCTTTCCAAACACACCTTGCAGGAAGCGGAAGATCACAAACACGGGGAAATTTGGTGCAAATGCCACCACGACACCGGTGAGGCCCACACCAAAACAGGATATTAAGTAAATGACTAATCGGCCGTACCTTTGTTTTTTGAGAAGGAGACAAAAAAGAGAGAGATCATTGTAAGCATGTTCTTCGGCACAATGAAAACAAACCACCATTTTTAAGAATTGCTGAAAAGTCTTACGTCAATGAACCTAGGTCCTCTGTAATTTCATTATTACCATGTTGATGGAGGGCTGAAGAAACTAAGTGTGGTCTTCTAGTAAAACCAAGACAGATACATCACATTCCACATGGAGAGATGCTTTGAAAGCATTTGACCTTTGTGGTTTTCCAAAAGATGGCCACAAGTGTTGTTTGTCACAGTTTGGGCCACACAACTGAGACAGGTGCAGTGTTATGAATGGGTGGAGTCACGTGTATAAAAGGGCCAGGAAGAAGCCAGGATGGCACTGTCCTGTCAGATGGCCTGGATTTGTATCCAGCTCAACTGTCTACCAGCCAGTTGCTTTGACCAATTTCTTTCTCGCTTTATATTTTTCAATTAAATTTAAAGTTCAAATAATAAAAAAAACACATGTTTTATTGTGAATTTGGTGAATGTTTACTGAGGAGAGCACCAGTCAACAGTTCACATACATCTTCTTTCATTGATTGGAATTCCCCCAATGGACTATCATTTATCCCACTGTCTCTCTGGGTCCATTTCCTTTCTTCCTTTTCCCCCAACCCTTGGAACTTTGTCACTGGGTAGATGGGCCCATCTGCTCTGAAACCCTACATGGTTGATTATTCTGCCACAGAGGTGAGCTCTGCTCCAGGCCTGCAGGGTGACTGAGGGCCGTCGTCTCGGGCTGGACGGTCTCACCTGTGTCTCTCCGACCAGTAAAGTTGGTCTCTCTTATGATATTTGACCCATTTCATAAGCTCTGCAAGACTGGGCTTAAATTGTGTCTCCCCAACATACAATATTAATCCTTCTTGCCTATACTTGTGGATTCCATCCCATTTGGGAAGAAGGCTTTCTTTAGCCAGTCGCTTTGAGGGAGGTATAAAGGGAGAAGATTAGACACAGAAACAAGCAAGCATGGAGAAGACTCATGCCACGTGGAGATCTTCAAGAACCAGGGAAGAGAAGCTGAAAAGAGACAAGGACCTTCCCCCAGAGAGGATAGAGAGAAGCTTTTAGCCTCCTAACAGTGAGGACATGCATTTCTATTTGCTACAGGCTCTTCCGCTACCTCTGTGGTACTTCTGGTATAGCAGCATCAAGACCCACAGACTCTGCTTGGTTCAGTTTCTCCACCTCTTCTCCAGTCAGGTATAAAGTCACTACCGTCAAGTCAGTGTTGACCCACTGCTACCCTATAGGACAGAGTAGAGCTGCCCCTGTGGGCCTCACAGACTGTAACTCTTTACAGGAGTAAAAACCCTATCATTCTCCCATGGAGGGACTGGTGGTTTTGAACTGCCGACCTTGTGGTTAGCAGCCCAACATGTAACCACTTTGCCACAAGGGCTCCTCACAGTGAGGCTGTATCGAGGATCAAATGAGATATTAATGTTAAAAAAAAAGTTTTTTTTAAAAAAACTATATAATTCAAAACCAACGTGAATTAGTCTTCATTTCTGTGTTTTTATTTTCACTCCCAAACTCACCGCCATTGAGCCAATTCTGACTCATAGTGATGCCATAGGACAGAGTAGAACTGCCCCATTGGTTTCTGAGGTTGTATTTCTCCACAGAAGCAGAAAGCCCCCCCCCCCCTCTCTCTCTCACACACACACACACCCCTTGCTATAAACAGTGGAGTAGAGGTAGAAACAGCCTTATCTGATCTAGATTTCTTACTCATTCTTTGTCTGTCCTACACCATCTTCTCAGAGATGGTGCTTGGTAAACTATTTCTCATCCTTTCCTTCATGGATGCCACTTATAGATGTGGGAGAAGAGAAGTGGCAGTCCCATGGTCCGCCCTGGCATGAGTCAGAGTTATCCATGGCTCTTGTCTTTATCCAGGTCTCCTCTAGTCTCCACAAAGTATCCAATCATCCATGAAGTTGATGCTCAACTCAGTCCCAAGGCAGAAAGGGGAGAATTATTCCTCCACCTTAGCTGAATTCATTTGGCTTGGAGATGTGGCGATTGGTTGTGCAAGAGGAAAATGTAGTAGAAGCAAAGCCCACATTGCATGTTAGTAGGAAGAGAAACATCCAATCAACCCCATGGAGATTTAAAATGCACCCCTCACTTCTGCAGGTAGCCAGTTAGTAGAGAAAGTGATACGTAGGGGAGATTAAGAATGAAAAGTGAACCAATAGAAAAAGACACAGAAAAAAGAGAGGAATAGGGGGAAAGCACATTAGACATGCAAGGCTAAGGACGACACTCCTCCTCAGAGGTCAGTTAGTTGTTGGGGAGGAGGAAAAAGTGAGAGAAACAGCAAATAACAGAAAAAGAAATCATTTTGAATTTCTCTCCTTGCCCAACTCTTCTCTTCAATTTGCTACAGGGTTGAGGAATGTTAGTGTCCTAAATTACTGATTAATAGCTGCCCACTGTTCTCAAGGGGAAACTTCACATTATCATCCAGTGGGTTGGCCATGATCCACCAAGGCTGGCAGGAGTGACTAGGCCACTATCGAACCACAGATGGCCCAGGACCTCCCTGACCATCTCCTACAGGGTTGTGAGAAAAGACTAGATTAAGGCAAGTATCACTGAAGTGACAACTGGAATAAAGGACTAGAATAAAACGTGACCACAATAACAAACATGAAAAATATCTGAAATAGCATGAGTTACGTAGAAAGTCGGGACAGTCTTGGCTAGGCGCACACATCCATCAAACCTACCATTCACCAGCTAGATTTATGATTCGGGGGAACATTTTAAACAGAGGTTGGACTGCATAGAATAGAGACATTTCTTTTAAGTTAGGCGAGACAATTCTAGACTGGAAAAATGGAAGGCTGTGTGACATTATGGCAAAATGAATCACACCAGAACCGGAGAGGTGAGGCTGGAACCCGGCTTGGTTCACGCAGTCACGCCAACCATGGTGTCACCAGAGTAGGGCTGGGGGTTTTCAAGCCCCTCTTTGTAGAGTTAAAGGATTAAGAAGATGACATTCAGGAAGGCAGACAGGTAGTAAAATCAAGCCACTGTGAATACTACAGAGTGAAATTAATTTTTCCCAATTTAGCAAAATTATCTTCCTCATCTTCAGAATGAACCATTTTCCTTCCCATTTACGTTCCCTCCAAATATGTTAGAATCCTAATCCCCATACCTCTGGATGTGATTCCATTGAAAAATAAGGTCTTCTGGATTGTTCAGGAGGCCCTGCCAGTATAGGGTGTGCCTTAAACCTAACCACTTTTGAGATATAAGAGGAAATTAGGCCCAGAAGTCAGCAAGCACAGATGGGGAAAGACAAACGCTACATGGAGATCTTCAAGGCATGCCAAGATGGATACAGGTGCGGAGACAAGGACTCCCCCCACCTCCTAGAGAAAACAGAGAGGGTCTTCCCCGGGAGCTGGGGCCCTGGATTCAGACGTTTAGCCTCCTGACTTGTGAGAAGATACATTTCAGTTTGTTAAAGGCACCCACAGCAGCACCGGAGAACTAAGCCAATGCTATGTTGTCCTGATGGAAACCGTGGTAACGTGTCCATACCCACCTGTCGGCCGCGTAGCCTAAGGTGAACGCCCCAGCAAGGAAGCCAAGGTTCAGGATGGCCTGGGTGAAGTCCAGCATCCATGCATTGACACAGACGAGGTTAAACTGGGAAGAGAGAAAACACACATGGATGTACTGAAAGCTGTACCCCCAGACACCCAGGGGTTTTTAAAAATCATTTTATTAGGGGCTCATACAACTCTTATCACAATCCATACACACATCAATTGTGTAAAGCACATTTGTACATTCATTGCCCTCATCATCCTCAAAACGTTTCCTCTCCACCTAAGCTTTTTGAGTAGATCAGTCCTGCGTACATGCTTTCTGAAAACGTATCCTCTCACAGGCACAGAGTCTAAGTTTACACAGCTGCCAAGATGTAAGGTCCAGTACTTTAAAAAGGCGGTTACACCCTTCTTTTAGACGCACCCCAAACCATTGGATACCAAGGAGCACCCGGCCCAGCCCACGGTCTTTTCACCGTCTTCATATGCATATGAAATCAGGACAGACACCAGGGCCGCCTGAAGAACAAGCAAATCTCCGTAGAAGAACTACCATCAGAGGTGGTGAGACTGTCTCACGTTGGACGCAGCCACAGGATAGCCCACTCCCCGGGAAAGGACAGCATGGTTGGGAAAGAACAGTGGTGAGAAGGGTTGAGTGGGAATGAGACGGGCTGACAAGCAAGCCTCCACCATTGCTCAAACATCTGCGATGACGGAGCTGGCTTGGGACTGGATGACACTTGGTCTGCTCTGTTCCGGGTCACTAGTTGTTGGAGCAGGTCCCACGACAACTAGCATCAACAGAGCAGCCATCACACGCATGTGCTTTCACTGTCAAAACTGTTACTTTCATCTTTCGTGTCTTGGAATTCTTATTTTCATTTCCATATGCTTTCCTCCAAAAGGAAAGTCTTTGATCCAGAAAACGTTTTCTCAATGACCTCGTCATACTTCCACATGCAAGCAACGTAAAAATAGACAGTCCGCTACTAAAGACTGTCCTGTGAGCACAACCTCTAAATATTAGACTTTTTTCCCTCCTGATTGGATTGTCATCACAGTTATTTTGGAAGACTGTTATCAGCCTAAGATATCAGGCATTTTGATAAGTAATTATTATGTGGACGTAAAATCTTATAGGAAATGTACCTCTTGGAGTTCCCAAAGAGTGTAAAAGAGGCTAAAAAAAAAAAGGAGGTTTTTTTTTTACCCCCTCCTGCTGTTATTTCATCTAATCTCTAGGTAAATATCATGCATTATTAGCATGATTTAAAGATTTCCATTAATATCCAGTCAACTCTTGTTTCTCATCTGTATAAGTTTGTAAGAAATCTTGTCCGTGGAAGTGAAAGACCCGGGAGGGAAAGTGTTTTGTTGTAGCATGATTACTCAAGGATGGTTTGGTGACCTGTCATCAAGAGATATTTAAACTTTTCTGGTAGCTGACACCACATTACAGTTCTCCGGCAGTGTTGCTATAAGCAAAAAGGCTGGAAATCACCGGACAGACAAAACATTGTTGGATCGAATCACTGGGGGATTTGCTTTCTTTTCCCATCGTTGCTGTTAGCTGCCATCACATCGGTCCCCAACTCATGGCCACCCTGTGCACTATGAAGGGAACCCCTGCCTGGGTCTGCACCAGTCCCTGGACCAGTGTGATCCGTGAGGTCTTCACTGGCTGATGTGCCTGAGTGCATCGCCAGACCTTTCTCCCTGGTCTGTCTTCATCTAGAAGTTCTGTTGAAACCTGCTCAGTGTCATCATCGCCACACACAAGCCTCCTCCGAGAGATGGGCAGCGGCTGCACATGAGGTGTGTCTGCTGGGACTGCACTGGATGGGTAGGCTGGCTTTGAGAGGTTTGTTTGGGTCTGGGGGGAGTCCAACAAACCACCTCTTGTTCAAGGGCAGGTCACTGTGGACCACCGTGGGTTCATCTAAGACAGGGGAGCCGAAGACTCTCTCCTAAGACAATCTACCTAGAACCAGTGGTGGGGGCATCTTCTCTCCTTTTCCCAAAGTATACACACAAGAAGACATTAAGATTTTTTCAATGTTCATAAACCATGTTTATTAATCTTCCGCTACTTATTAATCTTCAAAGTCACTTTTATACAAAGAGAATTACTCTCCTTGGCATGGAGCTAACACCAATCTGATAAAAGACCCAACTGTTTATGTAACACTGGCAGAATTACATTGCTTCATTTGGCAGAAAGCACAAGAAACTCTAGCCTAATTCAGTACGTTGGAAGCATTTTCTACCAAGGGCTTCCCCACCTTCCCTTCAGCTTCGCCTACTTCTTAAAATCCAAATAAGCATTCTGTTAAGTTATAGTAATGCAATTCTGGGCCAATTCTTATCAGACATATGTTATGGTTTTTAATCACATAGTTATGGTTTCTAAATGATCCTTAAAAGGAAGGTAAGAAAAGATCTCCAAGACAGCAAGATCAAAGGGAAGACATACAGTATGTGTGCCAAAGTCTCAGACTGCTAGCAGTGGAAACTTACCTGCTCCTGAAACCACGGGGGACGAGTCCTGACGGGAGCAGTCACATTTCCCTAAAGGTCTAGTGTCAGCCCTCTTGGAAAAGTCATGCGAGACAGTCTAAGATTAGAGGGAGGCTTGGGTGGTACAAATATGTTTGATGAGAGACACCTTAGAAGATAGGCGTGGTGGTCGACATTTGCCAAATCAGCCCCTGAAAGCCCTGACCCCCAGGAGGTCATCATGCATAGGAACTGACTGGGCAGCAGGTTTTTAAAAATTCTTTTAATTTCCAGCTGCTGATCCAGCTCCCTGATGTGTTCCCCCATTCGGGCCTCGGTTTTCTGCCGGCCAAGCCGCAGACACGTTGGGAGATGACTCACTTTCTAAGTGAATAGGGTTCCTTTTCCTAAGACAAACCAAGGTGCACACAAATTGCAATACTTTGGCTCTTATAAGACCTAGAGTGTAATATCAAGAGAAAGACGAGGATTTACAGTCTTGGAAACCCGCGGGCAGTTCGACGCTGGCCTCGAGGCGCGCTGTGAGTCAGAATCGACTTGACGGCAGGGAGTGCATCAAGAGAGGGTAATGTTGCCCCTTCCCACATTTCACTTTTGGTCTCTCTTTGACCCATTTCAAATGTATCCCAATTTTTAATATTTTCCACTTTTTTTTGACTGAGGTTATTCCTGCTTCATTTTGTTATTGTTTTGGGGCTTTTCATGTTTTCTTTATTTTGTTTTGCATGTTTTTTCTGTATTTAAAATCCAGGATAGGTAAATCTATATAGTAACTGGATTAATAATTACCCAGGGACATGGTAGGAAGGGTGTGGGAGAAATGGCGAGCAAAAACCCATAACTACAAGAAAGAAGAAAATGTTCTGAAATTTATTGTGGTGGCAATTGCATAGCTCTTCTTAACATGATTGAACTTTTGAGTTGTGTGACGTGAATTATATAGCAATGAAAAATACTTAAAATGAGGCTTCAGGTAACAAAATAATACTAAAGTGAGTGCTTCATTTTATTTAAAATTCTTAGGAATATGTGGGTTCAATTTAAAAATCTGTCTCTCTTCACTCAAGTCATTGCACATAAACCTATTCCTTGCTTATTATCTCCTTATCTGACATTTTACATTTCAAACCATAGGGGAAAAAATCAACTATTTGACTATTTTGCACACTACAAATGTAGATCTGGCAGAAATGAACCTTGACCTCAAGGTTGGTGAGGCAAGAGTAACTCAGGCTGTGAAGGTGAAGGTTATGTCTCAACTTGGCAAGACCATGGTTCTCAGGTGTATGATAATGTAGTTACTTTTCTCTTGTGATATGATGTGGTCATCCTCCATTTTTGCACAATGCCTATTTTTGCATAATGACTTGCTCTTTGGAATCCAATGATGTTGATAAGTGGAAAGTGGATGTAGAGAGAAATGGTGTCACTTTGATGTGGTGGCATTGTTGACAATGACAAGGTTGCCGTTTCAGAAGCTATTTTGGGTGTTCTCTTAGTTGCTGACCCTAATGCATTACACAGAATAGCTATTGTGTTGGTTCATCTTTGCAGAAGGGTAGAAAAATCATTCTTGAAATATTGACATTGAAATTCTACAGTAAAACCTGTGGAAGGCAGAAACTTTTCAGAGAAGGAGAACTCAAATATTTCCCACTAAACCAAGCAATTTCAAAAGTGGTTAGACTCTACCCTGTCAACAATGGAAAACCTGCAAGAGCCGGAAAAACAAGGCAGACCTGTTGAATTCAAGCTCCTACAGGTTCCATTGTAATAGTCTCTTTGCAATGACGAGTCCTGGTGGTGCAGTGGATTAAGGACTAGGCTGCTAACCCAAAGGACAGCGGTTCAAACTCATCAAGCCTCCTCAGGAAAAGGAAAAGGAGGTTACAGTTTCAGAAACCTTTAGGAACAGCTCTATTCCATCTTCCAGGGTAACTATGCGTTGAAATCAACTCAACAACAGTGGTGGGTAATATTCATGAGAGGAATTGCTAAAATAACCAAACAATGGGCTCAAATATATCAACTACCATGAAAATGACATGACTTCAGGTTACCACTGGTAGGAACCACTCAACGGTAACTATTAAGCAAAGGACTGGTGGTTCGAACCCACGCACAGGTGTCTCCGAAGACAGGCCTGGCAGCTGTTTCTGAAAGATCACAGGTTTGAAAACTCTGTGGAGCAATTGAATTTACTGTGAAGTGAGAAGATTAAATTATAATTTCAATGACATCAATCCAGTTTATTTTGTTGCCTACTCCTCTTCCAATTGTGATAGTTAGATTTTGCATCAATTTGGCTGAGCCAGGATTCTCAGTGCTTTGGTATTCGCCATGATGTGACCCGCTAGGAGCAACCATGCAGTTGTGGAAGGAGTACAGGAGAGTACAACTGCCTGACTCGGGTTCCAGGCCTGATGCAGTTTCTTTGGGGGGGCGGTGGGGGGTGGCCAGTAGCCTATCAGAGTCGGTGAGGTGGAGAGTTTGCTTGCTTCCTGAAGGTCTGAGTCCTGCATCTGGCTCAGCCACTTCTGGTTCTTTGACTGGAGCCAAGGGACCACCATATTGCCT